TGGATGGGGAAGCTCACCTGGGCCGGCCTCTCCCCTGCCCCCTGCTGCACAGGTATTATCACCGTGATGTCAGCACTGTCGGTGGCCCCCTCCAAGGCCTTCACCTACTCCCAGGAGGGCTGGGCTTATGTCAAAGAACGTGCCAAGGAACATTCCAAGTAGTGGATTGGTTGAAGACGCCATGGACCGGAAGACTCCAGACTGGGAGCCCCCTCCGAGTGCAGCTCAGGACCTTGTGGGCCCAATAAAGGACTTCAGTAGTGTGCTGATCTATGTGCTGGACTCCTGGTGGCTCCTTGGGTGCCGTATAGGCACTGTTCCCTGGGGCCCTCACCCTGGCCTGGGGGGTCCGGGCAGACAGTGCTCAGGGGGCTGTGGAGGCTGAAGGTGCTGAGGGTGAGCTAGGCATGGGTGACTTGTTTGTTGGAGGTGAGACCTCTGTTGGGGTGGTCCTGGGGCACAGGAAGTCTGGAACCCACACACACATGCACCCTTAACCCCAGCCAAAGCTGTTTAAGGTTGGTCTTCAGTTGGCTGCTCTAGCTACTGTCCAGCCCTTCTTCCCTGGGCCCCAGCTTCATTCCGCCACTTCCCTGGCAACCGTGGGGATTTCTGAGGTGGAAAGGCTTAGGCACAGCCGTTTGGGAGCCCCCCAGCCCTAACTTCCCCCTCTCCCCCCGGAAGCCTCCCTGCCCCACACAGGATCAGCTCTCTTGACTCTACCTGGGTCCTGGTGTCTGTTCCCCATTGCACTGAGTTTGTCTGAGTGTGTCTGCTGGGCTCACGGAAAATGTACCAATGATATGAGGTGAGGGAGCCTGTGTTTGGAACCAGAGTCTCATCCCCCATACAGACAGGCTGGGGATGGACCTGAGGGTTCTGGTTCTGTTGCTTGGGTCCTGACACCTCCTGGCAGTTGCTCTTCTGCAGAACACTCCTGGTCTCCGGGTAGGCCTCCCATGTCCAGTGTGCCCCTGGACATGCGGTGCCAGTTGTCTATGCCCCTGAACTTCTTGGGCCTTCAGGAAGGATGAGCAGGATGGGGAGCAGCCCTTATTCTTGTTTCTCAGTCCTGTTGAGGAGCGGCTACTGCTGGCCATTACAGCAGCCAAGAGAATGACCCTCATGACCCACACGAGCCCCAGGAGTGTGTCCATTTTACAGATGAAAGGATTAGCAGGGTTAGGTTAAACACCCACTCTGCTGTCCTGGGGTTCCTAGGGAGTCTGCCTCCACCTAGCTCTCACGCCCTTGAATCCAGGATGGTGCTGTATTTAACCCATTACTCCCTGGACTCTCACACCGTCTTGGCATGGCTGTTACAGATAGGAGACAGCTGGTCCTATTAGAAGCAGGGCCTGCCACAAAGTACAATAATGTGTGTGTGTGTGTGTGTTTTGTTAATGTTTTATTGTGAATTACATGGTAGTTTACATGGGAGAACATTAGCTTTACATTCATCCTATCTTATATTGTTTTATTGCCATGGATACAAACCCCTTCATGCATCATCAACCAACTGCAGGGCAAGCCTTTCCCCTGGTCGTCAGCACACAGCCCCTCTCCCTCTCTGGTTCTAGAGTCCCCAGCTGCTCCATTTCCATGTCATCGTCTCTGCCTCCATCTCTGACGTCACTGCTCTCTGGGACAATGTGTGTTTTAATGCAGCCACGGGTAACGGAAGGGCACAGCAGCAGGTTAATTTGTGGCGTCAGCGCCCAGCAAAGGAAATGCTAGCAGGCTGGAGCAGCAGCAGCCACAGGTATAGCCCTGGGCTACAGACCATGTGCCTCTGAGCTCTGGCTACCCAAGACCTCTCGCCCATATTCCTCTCCAGTCTGGTAACCTCCCTACTGCCCTCCATGCTCTTTAGCAGGGCCCTCAGGTATTACACTGAGATCAGCAGCACCCTGAGCCATTGGCCTCTGCTAAGTTCTCACACCCACCCCCTCCCCATCTTCCTCATGGCTGGTCCTGCTCCGACTCTAGTTGAGACCCATCCCCTGACCTGCTGCCTGTTGTCTCCCCCCACACGTCCCATCACTTAGGAGCAGGGTTTCGCCACGTAAGACCTCTTGGCCCACCTCCAGGCCAGCTGTCGTTAGGTGCCATTGAGTTGGTACCTACTCATAATGACCCTATACACAACAGAATGAAACAATCTCACCATTGTTGCCATGCTTGAGCCCATTGATGCTTCCACTTTGCCAATCCATCTCGCTGGTGGTCTTCCTTTTTTTTTTCTTCTAATTCTCCACCTTAACCAAACATGATCCCTTTTCCAGCAACTGATCCCTCCTGACAATATGTCCGAAGTATGAGAGACGAATTTGGCCATCCTGGCCTCCAAGGAGCACTCTGGCTGCACTTCTTCCAACACAGATCTGTTGGTTCTTTTGGCAGTTCATGGCACTTTCAGTATTCTCCAACACCATAACTCAAAAGCATCCTTATTCACTGTCCAGCTCTCGCATCCATATGAGGTTATTGAAAATACCATGGCTTGGGTCAGACCACCTTAGTCCTAAAGCTGTGACATTTTTGCTCATCAACACTTGAAAAAGGTCTTGTGCCGCAGATTTGCCTAATGCAATATGTCCTCTGATTTCTTGACTGCTGCTTCCGTGAGTGTTGGTAATTGATCCAAGAATGAAAACCTTGACAACTTCAATTTTTCCTCTGTTGTTAAGAATGTTTATTGGTCGAGTGGTAAGGATTTTTGTTTTAAGATGCAATCCATACCGAAGGCTGTGTTTTTTCATCAGTAAATGTTTTAGTCCTCTTCAATTTCAGCAAGCAAGGTTGTATCATCTGCATATCACAGGTTGTTAATGAGTCTTCTTTCTCCAATCCTGATACCATGTTTTTCTTCATAGAACCCAGCTTCTTGGATGATTTGCTCAGCATACAGATTGAATATGTATGGTGAAAGAATACAGCCCTGTCGCACATCTCTCTTAATTTGAAACCATTGTGTTCCCATGTTGTTTGAACAACTGCCTCTTGGTCCAGGCACAGATTCCTCATGAGCACAGGTTGGCTGTGGTGGGGGGTCTAATCTGAACCATCCTTACGTATACATGACGCACCTGGGAACTTGTACATCTGTGGTGGGAAAACGAAAACAAAAACATGAGTGCTCAGCAGTGGGTGAGCCAGCATGGACTGGTTTGAATCTAGAAGGCTGGTGGTTTCACCCCAAACTGTAGGTGGCTGTTTGCTGTCCCTCCAACAGCTGCCCTTGTCATAGGACAACAGATGTTTGCAGCCTGACAAAAATGTTTCTGTAATTGGCTCAACTAAATGTTTCCTCCTGCTGAATGAAGCATGTGCCCTTTTATCTTGCTTAGAAATCTTGGTCAGATATTCAAGCTGTACCTTCTTCCAACTTCATTCAGACAAGTTGTCACCTTATAAAAAGGTACAGGTCTAGCCACATCCACAATGGATGAGACAACTACATCCACTACTGAAGGAATCTCCTTGTTCCTTAAAAAACACATTGCCATTTGTGCCTCAAAAGAACCACATGTACTCTTGAAGAAAAGGTGACATGTAAATGTTCAGCTAAACAAAGTGCAATGTAATCGTAACCTCACAACACAGGCAGACATGTCCATCAAGCCTGAGCCCAACAGGGAAATGTGTGCTTTGTAACATCCATGGGGGTGTTAGAGTACCTTCAAGATGATTTTTGACAGAACTGCCCCATAAGGTTTCCTAGGTTATAGTTGTTAGGTGCTGTCGAGTTGGTAGGTAACCGACTCATAGCAACTCTGCACAACATATTGAAACACTGCCCCATCCTCACAAGCCTGAGCACATTGCTCCCACTGTGCCAATGCATCTGGTTGCAGGGGGGGTGGGGGGTGGGATCCTCTTTTTCACTGATCCTCCACTTTACCAAGCATGATGTCCTCCAGGGACTGGTCCTTCCTGATAATATGTCCACAGTAGAAGTCTGGCCATCGTGGCTTCTAAGGAGCATTCTGGCTTGGCTGTACTTCTTCCAACAGTAGTTTGTTCTTTTGGCAGTCCATAGCACTTTGAATAGTATTCAACACCATGGCTCAAATGCATCAATTCCTCTAGTGTTCCTTATTCACTGCCCAACTTTCACATCACATGCCTCTGAGGTTACTGACAATGCCTTGGCCTGGGTAGGAACATTTTCTCCTGACTATCGTTAATAGAACAGCTAGGTGGGTTTGAACCACTCATCTTTCTTTGGAGCCAAGCCCCTACCTCTTGTACCACCAGGGCTTGGCTTATCCACATAAAAGGACGTTAAGAAGTAGTGTTCTGTGGAAAACACAAAAGTAGTGCACGGCCCCATTTTTGCAAATAACCTCCTATCCTTGCTGGACCCCCTCGGTGGTTTTCCAGTCTCTATTTGTCCATATTTACACATAAGTGGTATGAATACTCACATTACAAAACAAACTCATGCTGTCAAACAAAACCCAAGGCTCAAGTAGGTTCATGGTAGAAAAAACTTCCCTGTCCCCTAAGTGACCAAACCAAGGACTGTGGGCTCTTGAGTCTTCTGTGTCAGTGGCCCATGGTGGCCACTACACGTCTGAGGGCTGCCTGGTGCACACCCTGCTCCTCAGGGGCACTGGAAGTGCCTGAGGCACAATATTGCAAAGGACTAAGGGGCCAAGATGGGGCCAAGGCAGCAAATATTTGGCGGAAAGTCTTCCTAGAATGATTACCCATCCTGTAAATTGCTTTCCGTCTGCCCCTGGAGAATGAAGGGCTCTGGTGGCTTGAACCCACTTGGCAGCACTATGAAAGCCCTGGCAATGGGATCCGGTTAAAATGACAACCCCAGTCGTTCACATGGGGCACTGTAGTCACAATGACAGTCTGTAAGTCTGTTATCACAGAGTTTTACTTAAGAGAGGCGGCAATAAAATTGAGATGACACCTTAATTAAAGGGTATGTGAACAGAAACACATTTATTACAAAAAACCAAAACAAAACAAGAACCCAAATTCACATTGTATTGAGCTACAATATGGCAGCAGATTAAAAAAAAAAAGTTTTATTTGTACACAGATCAAGAATTCCTAACAGAAGAGGCTCTGGGGGCCACAGGGCAGGGACATGGGTGGGAAAGCGTTAGTAGCGGCGAGTGAAGCGGGCTTCGTTGGGTCTGTTCCCTCGGGTCTGGCCTCCAAATCCTCCTTGCATCCCGCCGCGCGGCATCACGTGGCCCCGGGAGGCTCCACTGGGGGCAAAGCCGCCCCGCCTAGGAACAAATTCAGATTCTTGTGTCCGTGAAGCCCTCCCACTGCGCAGGCCACCTGTCCCAAACTGCACACGTTCAATGGGATGGGGCAGGCGCTCTTCTGGACTCTGGTCCTGCTCTGGAGCAGCGGCACCGGAAGACAGACTCACAGCCGTCTGAAGAGCAGTGACACGGGACTGAGTACACATCACAGGACAGGGGAAGGTAGTGCTGCTCGGAAAGACTTGACTGTTTTAAACCTTCACCAAGTGAAGCCAACATGCAAAGAAGAGACAGGTAAAGGTGGAGAGGTGAGGCATCGAGGGAAAGAGTACGCGCCAGCGTCAGTGCACCTTACCCCGACATCCCTCCCCGGCTCATCATGTGGCCCGGCCCAGAATGGCCAGACAGGCTTCTCTCTCCACCTGGAAAATAAGAGACGGAGGAGCTGCAGCACAAGCCGCTGCTGAGACACCAGGCACTAGGCTCCCGCCCTCCAGAGGGAAAGCCAACTCTTTACCTTGCCACCTCTTGTGGTCCCTGTCCATCATGCTTCCCTCGGCACCACCCGGCCATGCACGGTCATCTTCCAGTCTTCGGCTGTGGTCCCCCCAGTCACGTCTGCCCCTTAAAAACAAACATCTCTGATTTGGATTGCCCTTGTCTTGGTGTTACCTTACACCCACAGAAGAGGATTTTAGGGGGTGAACAGAACTCCCCATGTGCTTGCCCTCGTCCTGTTAGGAGCACCAACTGGCTACTGCTCGTCTCTCTACTCTGGACCCTTGTTTGTGTAGGGTGTCTCTCTGCTCTACAGTGACCCTGACAGCTTCCCACCTCCCACACCAAAGGAGACCAGCACACATGGCACCTCATCTGCTGATGTGGGCGAGGCCCTGATACAAACCTGGGAGGGGGAGGCAGTCCCCTGCCTTCACTCATCCTCTTGTCAGAGCCATAGCCACCCCACCCGTCGCGGGAGTCCCGGCCGTGGCGCTCTGGTCCTCCGTGGCGCTCAGGATAGTGCTGAGTGTTCCAAGAGGCAGGAAAGAGAGCAGGCTTCAGTATCAATCCCAGAAGCCCGTGAGAAAGATGGCACACAGTAACAGGTGAAGAGGTGCAATGGTTAAGTGTCCAGCTGTCAACCCAAGTGCTGGAGACAGCTGTAAGCCAGCAGTCACTCTGAGGAGACCTGGCCATCTCCTCTCATCAAGAGGGCATCCTAGGAAACCCTAATGTCACGAGGGCCCACTTGGAGGCAGAACGCACACAGCAGCAGCTACACTCTCCACTCGGGTAAATAACCCATCAGAGTCGGCCTTCATCCTCTTCACTCCAATTCAAGTCTTTCCAGAACAAGATGCTCATAAGCCTCTGCTGGACACTGGATAGAGGTGCAGCCAGGCCCCATGAGCTGGACATCATCCACCACTAAGTAAAGACTGACATAAAAAGCCAACCAAGCAAGTCTCCTTCTTTGAAGGCAAAAAGAGATCCCTAAAACAACAGTCCTATAAACCAGCTGATTAGGCAAACTGTTTTTTAAATTCTTATTTAAACTTTTTAGCTCCTACTTTAGACAGCATCATTTAATTTTGAGGAAAGACAAAACCAGAAGACATCATTAATGGCCTTTGTTCAGTCTGTGGCTTATGATTTAAAGCTGGGCACAGTACCCCACAAGGAGCTAGAAATCATCAGAAATTTCTGTTCAGTCAACCTGTGACTAGGCTCAGGCATTATGGTCTGGTTCCAGCTTTTCTGGCAGCTCATGTGTCATGAGCTGCCATTTCGGGCAGCACCTATGACTTATTTAGATTTGTGTATGTGGGAAAAACAAACTCTCTTTTCCTAGTCAGGAGAGCACCAGCCAATGATGATATGAAAAGATCACTAGCAACATACATGTAACTGTATGACACACATCTACCACAGACGGAGAATATTAAAGCTGCAGAGGGAGCATCTTGGCTCATCATGAGACTGACCACATGAGGATCAGGGAGCCAGAGGATGCCCACTCCACAACCAGGGATGGACATCTCAGTTACTACAGAAAGACTGCTAGGACTGAGGGATAGTCAAGGAAACACTAAGAGAAAAGAACATTGAACTCCTGACCACGGCCTGCTTTCTGATTTCCCGAGAGATTCAGCGAGCTTTAGGGAAATCCTCAATCTCTGTGGAAGGTAGTAGCTGTGTTGAGGTGAGTCAATTACAATTCATTGTGACCCTGAATAGAATTTGGCCTCATTTTGCTATGCAAATTTGCAGTGTGAGCAATAGTCCCCTTATTTCCACTGGACACACACATAGGGACACGTCCAAGGACACAATGGCACCCAGTGTCGCTCGTAGTATGGACACTACACACACACACAATGTTCAGCTGGGTGCTACACGCAGCAGGAAGGAGGCTCTCCGGCACTACTTGACTACCAACAGGCAGTTAGGAAGGCCCTGGGCACCTTGGGACCAAAGCCAAGTGACCAAAACGGAACAAAAAGAATCCAGAGCCTCATCTGACAAGCACCCCTTCGGCTCAGGCTCAGAGGAAAAGGTGTGTTGAAGGGAAAGGAAACACAGCCTCTGACTTACCTGCCCTTCTCTTTCACCCATCATTGACCTTGAACCTTCTCTCCTGAAAAAGATCAATAAAATCCAGATGTAAAGTAAGGAAGGGGCAAAGCCTATGAGGAAGCATCGCTTCTTAACTCAGAGCCCAGAAAGACTGGCAGCTGACTGACCTGTCCACCGAGTGGTCGGGGTAGCGGCCGCGGTCTCGGTGGTCGAAGCTATGGAAACGCTCCTGGCGGCTGAAGTCAGAATGGTAGCGGTCTTCCAGAGCAGCCCGCTTGGCTTCTGGCCAATAGGCATCGTCTCGCCTGGAAGGAGTGAGGTGCACATGCATTCCAAAGGTAGGGTCCAGGGGACTTCTCCCCGAGATGGAGCCCTTTTAGGGGAGCTGCTGAACCAGCCTCCAGATAGATGGCCCCTGACGGCCCCTGACGTCAATGACACCCACACCAATTCCTCCAAGAGACTGTCCGGTGTCCAAGAGCCCCCCTCTGGAGAGGACCACCAGGCTAGGCTCACCGGCCGTCCAGGTCGTAGGGGCGCCGCACTGAGGGTCGCCGCTCCTGCTCATAGCGCAGCTCCTGCTGACGCCGCAGCTCCTCGCGCTCGCGGTGGATGCGCTCCTGCTCCTTCCTGCGCTCGTGCTCCACGTGCATCCGCTCGCGCTCCAGCCGCTCCCGCTCCCAGCGCTCTCTCTCTAGCCGCTGTCGCTGGAACGCCAATTTCTCTCGGGCGATCTCCAGCCGCTCCCGTTCCTCCCGCTCCCACTGAGCCTGCATGCGGTGCTCCCGCTCACTGCGCTCGCGCACCCTGTGGAGGAAGGATGCGGCAGGTGAGGAGAAGGAGCAGGGACCCCAGTCCTGCCTCCAGAGCACGGGCTATGCTCTGTCCTGACAGAAAGGGTGAGTCTGTGCCACCAACGATGTTGTGAACGGGACCTCAGTCCCCACACATCTGCCCGGAGTTCAAGAAACAAGGGATTCAAAAGTAGGGAACGTAACAGAATTTTCATTGCATCCAATGAAGTCTAAACTAGACCTTTTGCTTCTGGAACTACAAACTTTTAACCAGTTGTGAATTCAACAAGACTCCTCTACTGCTGCTGAGTCTGACTCACAATGAAATGACCCTGGATGGATGCACATGGTCACACCTTTCTCCCTCTGAGCAGCTGGTGGGTTCCAAATGCCCACCTTTTGTGTTAGCAGGCAAACAGTTAACCATGGCACCTTCAAACGGGGCCAGTACAGAACTGGAATCTTTTGAAGATGCATGTAACTCTGGTTGACTCAACACCCAGGGAAGGCCTGCAGCAACTGAGTGGTGGAGCAGGGCTGGGCCTGGTTCCCATCATTTTGGTGAATTTCTTGAAAGCCTTTTCCCTTCATCTCTGTCTGTGCTAACACAGCAGTCTCTGATCCTTTGCCTCTGAATTTGGTCAGATATGTACCAGGAGGTTCTTGACTTACCTGCGGGACTCTGAGTCTCTTGACTTTCGAGGCTCCTTGACTTTATCAAAGGATACAACGGAACGTTTCTCCCGGCTGGCTGACTTGCGATCCTGACTCTTGGAAGCCTGGTTCAGAGAACAGTAAAATGTTAAAGTATAAAGAGGAAACCAAGCTAGTTGCCATAGAGACAATTCCTACTCATGGTGATCTAATGGAGACAGAGTGGAACTGTACTCTCATCACCAGATCTTTCTTCCAAGACATCTCAGGGTGGATCTGAACCACCAACCTCTTGGTTTTAAGTGGTGCGTTCAACTGATGGCACCACTCAGGGACACCAGAAAAAGACAGCGTGTGACTATGCAAGAAGACCCTAGATGACAATGAATTTGTAACAAAGCCATCAAATACTGCCTTGTTTGCCTAGGGCTATGTGACCTCTTGAGCCATGTCATGTTTTCATCATAACTGACACTCACAGACTTCCCTGAACATTTGATGAGAAAATCCGATCTATCCAGGTATAGAATACATGTGTCCATTTTTCTCGACACATTTCATAAAAGCAAAAACAGTATTTTATACTTTGAGATTTTTTTGCAAGAAACCGAAACCGAACAGCATCCCACATAAATAGCTTATTCGTTTCCTTTTCTTAACTAAACAGGCAGTAAGTGCCTACTGGAGACTACTAACTTCCTTGTGTCCTGCCTAGGGTCAAGTCTAAGAACGTATCAAGGAAAAGCTTTTAACACTTTTCCAAACTTTTTATTTCTACAGTTTTTGGAAGCGCAGAAACCATTTCCCAAATTAAGTGCAAGGTGCCCCTAAATTATAAAACCCGACGTCCCTTGACACTAGGAAGACAGAGACTCACCCGCTCTTTAGAGCCAGATGTTTTCACACTAATGACAGGCACACCTTTAGACTTGTCCATGACCACAGTCCGCTCAGTGCCACGACTCCCTACAGGGCAAAAGGAGGAGCCTTGGTCAACACGCGGACCAAGTGGGGCTGAGGTGGAGAACTACAGAAGGTGAAGCCTATGAACAGATGGGGAGCCCCAGGTGCCCATCAGTTTGGTGGGCTACCTGACACTGGCTAGGAATGGACAGAGGAGAGCCCGGAGTGTCCATTGGCTGGTGGGCTACCTGACTTTGTGGTTCGAGATCGCTCTGAGGGGCTGGATTTCTGATCATCTGGATCTTTACCCTTTTCTCCACTTCCGTCTTCACCCTTTTTAGCATCGTCTTTCTTGTCGGCTTTTTCATCCCTCTTAAGGTTTGTGGATCTGCAAAGAATGCCAGAACACAGGTCTGCCCAATCAGTTCCTGCAAGGCCAAAAAAGCAGCCCAAGTGGTCCCAGAAAGGTGGACAGAGAGGGCAGGGCCTTTGCCCATCCTCCCCCACGGATAAGCACAGTGAGTGTCCAGAGAGAGGATGAGCTGGCCTCCAGACCCCATCCTGTGGTGGGCAGGAGGAGAGCAGTACCTGTCACTGGTGCTCGACTTGTCCTTTTTCCCATCGCCCTCGCGCTTGTCAGAGGTTTTCTTCCCAACAGGTTCGTTCTTCGCCTGAAATCATATTAATTGGGGAGGAGAAAATGAGAGGGAAGCATTCTTGAATGTCCCCCAACTGGTGCACCCTGGGGAGAAAATGCCACCTACTTTTTCCACTGAAATCATTTTCCCATGGAGCTCGGTTTTGTGCAGGTGGCTGATGCATTTTGTGGCCTCTTCGGCCGTAGACATGGTGACAAAACCGTAACAGCGAGCTCCAGGACTCCGGGCATTGGTCACAACCTTGGCGCCCACCACCTGAAAGGAGAGCAAGTCAGGTGGCTCAGAGCCCAGTAGGGTGACAGCCACAAGGGAGCAGTGCTGAGTGCCTCAGTGCCAGTCCCCCCTGGGAATCCCAGGCTCTCTGACTTCCATTCTGGGCTATCCTATGGGTCAGGGCAGCAGGATAATGTAGGGGATTAGATGGTGGAATCAAACACAGGGTTCAAGAGGCAAGGAGGAACTGCCTACACTCCTCCTGCTACACCGAGGTTTACCCCTAGCGCAGGGCCTCCTATGGAGATGGCCCTCCACACGCCACAGCACTGGGCACCTCTGAGGAGTGGGGAAGGGCTCTGGCTGTGGACAGGAGGGAAGACACTTCCAGCCACCCGTTCAGTTGGAAAAGAGGCCCAGGCAGGCAGTCGTCTCTATTATGGTTGTGTGCTGCGAAGTTGCTTCTGACTCATAGCAACCGTTTCCAAAGGGGTAAATCTTTCTGGGAGCAGAAAGCCTCATCTTTCTCCCAAGGAACTACTGAAAGTTTTGAACAGCTGACCTTGAGGTTAGTAGCCTGACTCGTAGCCACTATACTACCAGAGGGTCTTACTCATTCATCTCTATGTTGTTGTTGTTATGTGCCGTGGAGTCGGTTCCGACTCATAGCGACCCTGCACAGGGTTTCCGAGGCTGTTCATCTTTACGGGAGCAGAACACCTCGTCTTTCATCCGTGGAACCGCTGGTAGTTTCCAACTGCTGACCTTACAATTCACAGCCCAGTTCGTAACCACTAAGCAACCAGAGAAGCACCTGATAATGAGGTTTTCTCTTAGTGGCTATGGGACATCAACATTTGGACAAATACTGCAACTTGCTGAACTCATACAAGGAGCAGGAGCCTGTGCTTACAAACCCCAGTGAGCACAGGGAAGGAGGAAAGGAATGAAGGAAGGAAGGAAGGGAGGGAGGGAGGGAGGAAGGAAAGGAAGGCAGGCAGGCAGGCAGGCAGGCCAAGTGATGCCTTTGGAATAGGAGAGGTTGCTGCAGGGAACCCGCAATAGGAAGGAAAGAGGCAGGAGACTGAAGAGAGTGACGGACCCGCACCAGCCTGCCCCCTCTGTGGGAGATGGCAGACATTCTGAAATGCCCTGTCTTCAGAGAGGAGCTTTAGTTAGAAGTGGGTGGTAGATGCTCTCAGTGATAGCAGGGCGTGACTGAGCTGGGCCTGTGGTGAGCCCATTCTCAGTGGTTAGGCTCCTCGTGCCAAGAGCCTAAGTCTGAGAAGCGTAGAAACAAACTCAGGAAGCGATAGGCAGATGTGTAGAGAGGGATGAGAGATGTATACGCGCCCCCCACCCCCACCTGTGGAAGGGTAAAGCATCACTCCTGGCCCGGACAGGGTGTTCGCCCCACAGAACCTGCAGCCCATACCTTTCCATACTTGCTGAAAAGATTCTTCAGATCGGTAGCTCTGGTGGTGGAAGAAAGTCCACTGACCCAGAAATTTCTTCCACAGCTGCTCCGACCTAATGGAAAAGGAACCCAGTTCAGCCCCAAAGCGCCTGCCCCATCAAACACTGCCCCCTACTCTCCTCACATGACCCCAGTGATATTTGAAATGTCAGTGATAACCATGAGTTAGGGCTTTGGGGACCATATGAGAAGTCTGCAAAGTCACCCAAATGGCATCCCACTGCCCAGAGCAGGCTGTTTAACAGTAAACAGCTTTCTCAGAAGACCCATCTGCATCCCCTTCCCCACTATACTTTTGTTCCTTTATAGAACCCAAATTAAGAGGAAACTTTGACCAAAATATAATAATTCTAAATTAGTAGCACTAATCAAGGTTTCAAAACAAAGTAAGACAAAAACAAAAAATACACACATACTGGGGGGTGGGGGTGGGGATTCTGCAAAACAACCCCATTGCCATTAAATCAATTCTAACTCATAGCAAACCTATAAGACAGGGTTGAACTGCCCGAACTGCCCCACAGGCTATCTGAGGCCGGAATAGCTTTCTCCTTTGAGGCAGCTGGTGGATTCAAATTGTTGGCCTTCTGGTTACCAGCAGAGTGCTGTGCCCCTAGGTCTCCCAATCGTAGTGGTTAGGGTAGTAGTGACAAACCCAAAACAACTGAAACCAGAGCATGTTGAACTAGATGCCATAGTCATATAGGTAGAGGAATTGCTACAGGACCTACCCTTTTCTTCTTTGGAAAGCCGTTTTGTATCCAAGTCATCTTCGCCAGAACTAAAGACAAAAACACAATGTTACTCCAAAAAGACTATGCTTAGAGAAAAAAAAAAAAAAAAATTAAATTATGTGTTGAGGTTACATACCTACCCGAAATTTAGTTCTAAAAACAACCCCGACAAAATAGTATTGAAAGGCTGACCTAGCCCTAAGATTTCACACCCACAAGAGTTAATTAATTCTGCTGGGCTAAACAATTATTTAGGAAGAATTAAAGGACACAACCAGGAGAGGTTGAGAAAAGTAAAAGGAAAAAAAAAAAAAAGTAATCAGCTGAAACTACACAGAGAAATACAATGCTCTCTTAAAGGGTAAACTACAACTGCATGAGTCTGTCTGGCCAACTGCAGAAAAACAGCTTATGTGTGTCATTAAGTGACCAATGAAAAGGAGATAGCGTCTGGTCTAAAACTGAGAAAAAACAAACCTCATTTTCTGATCAGCGCCCTCACTGGCTGAGGACTCTTTAGGAGCCGGAGGGACTTCATTACAAGCTTCAAAGTCACCCTTCTTCGCGTCTTCTTTGCTATCTCTGGGTTCAGGGCTTGAGGCTTCGCGGGGTGCTTCCGCCGCCACCTCCTTGTTAGAGGCGTCCGCGTCTTCTGGGGCTTTACTACTCTGTTCACCTGGCTTCTCTAGCCCTACGGGCTCACAGTCCGCACTCTCGCCATCGCCTGTCTGCTCCGCCGGCTCCCTTTTCACTACCGCTAACGGGGTGTCTGCCTTGCTCTGAGCGTCTGTTGACTCGCTGGCCAAATCTAAACCGCCTTCCTCCTGCTCCTCCTCCGGGTGAGCGCGCTCAGAAAGGTCCTCCTCTTCCGCAAGCTTGCTGTCTGGCCCCACGCTACTTGTATCTTGTGCCAATGGCTGCTCCACCTCGGAACCTTCTTCTTTTACTGGCTCAGATTTACAAGTTTCCCCCAAAATGTCGAGTATTTTCTCATTTTCTACGGATTTAACAGGAATAGAATGGCACAAGGTTTAATGACCAGGGAAATAAAGCAAGCACAAGTGTGGATCGACTGGGCACGGCTGCCACAAGAACATGAAGAGAACAGCTAGCTACACAGAGATTGGAAAACCCGAGGGGTACACAGTTACCTGCTGTGACTACCTGCATGCCACCAACTACTGCATGAAGACTCTATGCTACAGGGAAGAGACACGCATCCCAGAGATTTAAACCCCAACACCTTCTGGCTGATTCTTGACAGTCTTCATTCTGTAGTTGTTTACATATGACTCTTCCAAATTTAGCTTCCAAAGTCCAAGGTGCTTAACTGACACGAATGGCCATTCACTGAACAGCTCAATTTCCAAATGGCTTTGAATTTCGTTTAACAGAACCGTCCAATAGGAAAACCAGAATATCTTCTAGTGGCGCTCTGAGATATTGCAGTCCAGAAAGTGAATAGGATTTGTTTGGAATTCTCCTGAAGAAACTCTTTCCTCTTCGGGAATCCAGTTACGTCTGTCTCAATGATTTAAAATGTATCTCCCTAATGCTACCTGCACTGCCTGAACGAAAACATCTAACACGAAGCTACTGTCCAATATCACAAGATCTGTTTTGTGGGGCGCACAGACATTATAGCTTGTGAAAGGCCTGCAAAGTCAGACACTTAAGGGCTGTTTCAGATTATAAAGGTGCGAAAAGTTTCATTGCACCAGTATGTATTTTTTGCGAAATTAGCAGCCAGACACTTGGACAGATCTGGTGATATGGCTGGGTTTCCAATCTCTATGATCCTGGTATGCTCTGGATCGTAAACCTTTAAAATACTGTATACTACCACAAGACAACTTGTTAAAATTAAAGAATTCAAATTAGAGAAGGTGGAAAACCAGCCTGGCTCAAACCCTCAATGGTAAGTTTTTCATTTAACAGTACCTGGCTCCAGGGACGGCTCTTCAATTTCCTGCAACAAAAAAAGGCAAATTAGACTCTGCAGGATGGAGAAAGCCATGGTCAGCCACACCAGAAACCAGGATCACTAAGAAGAGAGTCCCTTTTGCACATCTCGGCCCCGGGTCCCATACTAGCACCCTTTCTGGCAGTGTTTCCACAAGAGAGCATGTCACACACTGTGGAGACTGAGGTGTTTCAAGGAAAGCCGGTATTTTCCTCATCTGCCTGGCTCTCACCATCAATCTATACAGTCCGGCTGTCTGGTCCCCCGTGATCCCCAGGATCACCCAGCCCTTCCCATCTCCTCTCCCAGCCAGTGTTCTCACCACCAGTTTCCATTCCCACCCTGCGCACACAGTGCACACGCTCAGTGATTCCTTATTTGAGGCAGCACCTGCTCTTACTAACTCCCACCCGATCCCCAGTGGCGTACACCTTTTGCATTCAACAGTGGGTTTTGATGCCATGTCCCTCCCCGATGCCTCTGTCCCTGGCAAGTCCCATACTCCTTTATGGGACAATCTCTTCTTCTAGAAAGGCTTCCTTCTCTCACTACTTCCTCTCCAACCCAATTTCCAGCATGTCCCGAAGCTCCACAGTTCCCCATGCAAAGGAAGGAAGGAAACACTTCCAGTGAAAGAGCCAACACCACTGAAGCTCCAGGCCTCATTCACATACATCCACTCATCCTAGTATTGAGAGAACCCTAGCATGTTGGCACTATTAGGAGGATCCCTTTAAAAAACAAATCAGAGTAAGCAACTGTTGTAAAGAAGGGACACACTCCTTCCAATAATCCACCCTTGAATTGATTACTGACAAAGGCTGGAGAATTAGTAACAGAGAAGTGGGATAAGTGGTTACATTGTGATGAATGGCAGCAAACAAAATGTGTACAAAATGCTGAATGGAAAAGCGATTTGCTCTGTAAACCTTCATCCAATGCAACAAAGAGTCAAAGAAGGAGTCAACAGTGGCACAGACCGGTTAAATGGCTCCAAGACACAACAGAGTCCATGCCTTGTACACCTGCTAAATGGACATCAATGTGCAATCCTGTCTTTGGGAAATTCCCTGGCTTTCTGGTTCACAGGCTTCAAATGTTCTTTTCTTCCTCCAGCCCAATGTTGGAAATGGAGAAGGTCCAAGAATGAAGCCAACCGTCAGTTAAGGCAGAATGGTTTCATCTGTTTGTGGGTTGTTCTTGTTAGGAGCCGCGAAGCCGGTACTCATAGCGACCATAAGCACAATAGAGGGAAACAATGCCCAGTCCTATGCAACTTTGTCATTATTGCTGTAGCCGCTGCACCAATCTACCTCTTTGGGCGGTCTATTCATACATTTTTCATTGATATTCATAAGGTTATCAGTGACTAAACATTCGGAAGTAGTCTGTCTTAGCCTGGAAACTCAGCTGAAACCTGCCCACCATGGGTGACACCATTGTTGTGACGTTGGAGGTGACCCTGCTGCTATTTAACATACCCATGGCACAGTTTCCAAATTCACAGGTACACATAAGCCCCTACCGTATGACAAACTGATGGACTGTGGTGGTGTGTGGGGGCATCTCTAATACCCAACATATGACATGGTCTGGGATCTCCATTCTCTTTGGGAGGCAGGAGTAGGTGTTGCCACTCTGTTGCCAGGGCGCGATCAACTGTGGTGCAGTGTGTTTTCTGGAGGATGGAGCCCTCCTTTAGGCAGGGGTTCTGGCATGCTTATGCTCTCGTCTGGGTGCCTGGCAGATACTGATTGCGCTTGGCTTTCTCACAACACTCTAATTGTGAACCAGCCAGCCACCCTTTACATCTAGGAAAGCTAGGTCAGGAGAATCCCCATTCATGTCCATCTGACCTGAGAGTGAGTTCTTGTCCTGCTGAGTTCATGGAAGATCTATGCGGATAGCAGTGAAATGGCCAGGGCAATGCAGCCATCAGGGAAAGTGGTGTCCTTTCTGAGAGAAAGGCTCCCAGAGGCAGCCGTAGCCCACCCAGCTGCCTCCTCATCTGGGCTCCAAGGTCCTTGGGGTTTCACCTAACAATCTTCCTGTTAGGGGGTGCCATCCAGAGCAGACAGGCGGCATCTCCCCAGGAAATGAACCAGACTTCCCACAAGAGGGCCTATAGTAGCTGTGAAACAGCCACATTATTTGGAGGGAAGCCAGTATTGTTGCTAAGTGTCCCCGAGGAGTGACTGGTGAGCTTGGAACTCCGACCTTGAGGTGCAAACCAGCTGTGCATTCCATTACATGAACCCACAGCTCCACAGCAGGACTCCAAGCCAAAGGGAGAAGCCCTCTTTCAAGAAGCATGTTCTAGCTGGATGGAAGAGGACTAAGCCAGCAGAGCTCGGAATGACTTTGCTCAGTTGGGATTCTCTGACTAGGTCTGAAATGGTTTTCCATGAATAGTAATCTAACCTTTGGTTCTACAATGAAGATGCACAATTTACCTGCAATATAGTGAAATCAGATGACGATGCATCTACATTGTTTATAGTGTCCTTGTCCTCAATCTGCAAGATAAATGAAGAAAATGTTTATGACAGCAAAAGCAAGGTTAACAGAATATATGTGTTGTTTTTTCTGAGTGCCATCAAGTTGGTTCTGACCCATAGCGACCCTATTTAGGGTTTTCTAATGAGATAGAAATCCTCATCGAGTCAGTTCTGACTCATAGCAAACCCTATGTGAGGTTTCCAAGGAGCTGCTGATGGGTTTGAACTGCCAATCTTGTGGTTCACAGTCCAGTGCTGATCACAGTGCCACACCAGGTCTCTAACCTTGAATCTCTAAGCCATGAAATATCTGAAAATACTTCTTTACTCCACATCCTCACTGTTAAAAGGACACAACACCCACTGTTCTCGAGAGCCCACCGAGTTACCTCAGCATGCTCATGGAGCTGCTCAGGAAGCTCTTTCATTTCGCCTTCCCCCAGCTCTCGGCTGTCCGACAAGGACTCTGGGAGATTGTCGGCATCCTCATCCTCAACACAATCTGCAACACTCCCATTGTCAATTTCTGCTTCATCCAGCACACTGATGTCCATCATGTCGATGTCCTGCAAATTCTCCAGGCTGGTTTCAACATCCTCCTGGGACAACACAAAACAAAACAAAACAAAACAAAACAAAAGAAACAGTCAAGAGATGACCACTTGGCCCATGCCCCATTGGATCTGCTGCCAACACACGAGGTTGCACGTACTTGTCCATCTCCAGAGTTTTCCTCTAGCCCGTTATCTTCCACACCCTCCTCTTCTGGTTTGCGTCCTGAAGAGAGAACAGCAGGAAATCAATGACAGGCACTTCCTATACCGTTGTCACCACTGCCCTTGCTAAGTGCTTTTACTTAGGGGAGAAGAGCAGCTGATGCTGATGTGCCACCATTTCCCATTATGCAAACATGAGTCATGTTTCTCCACAGAAACGACAAAACCTGTGCCACAAATAAAACACATGATGAAATGGGGTCCTGCCTGCAGTCTTTGTGACTTCTACACAACAGTGGGCTGGGACTAAAGGTGAAGTAATATGGATTGAATTTTGGGTCCCTAAATGTGTCAGCTTGCAAGTCCTGGTGTGGCATTGCGGTTCAAATCCACCACCATTCCTTGAAACCCCTAGACAGGGTTACTATGAATCTGTCAACTTGACCAGGCCAGGAGTCTCATTATTGTGCAGTTGTGCTGCAGTGTGTGATATTAGAAAACCTGAGCTTCGATGCCTTGTGGCACAGTGGGTTAAGCAGTAGGTCGGCTCACCACAAGAGGGGCAGTATGAACCCATCAGTTGCTCCAGAGGAAAAAGATATCAAGCCTCGTAAAACCCATGGAGTGGTTTTACCACGTCCTATAAAGGAGTCCTGGTGTGGCGCTGTGGGTTAATGCGCCAGACTGCAAAGCCATTTGAACTGCAAGGCTGGTGGTTCAAGCTTACCAGCTGCTCCTTGGAAACCCTATACATGGTCGCTATGGGTCAGAATCGACTTGATGGTACTTCACAACACAACAATATAGAGCAGCTCTGGTAGCGTAGCGGTTTTGAAATCAGGGTGCTAAACCTCAAGGTCATCAGTTCGAAAGTACCAGCTGTTCTGCGGGAGAAAGATGAGGCTTTCTGCTCCCGTAAAGATTTTCAGCCTCATGGTACTTAACAAACAACAACACAGTTGCTCTGAGTCAGTGACCCCTCCGTTTTTATCTTGTATGAGAGACCACTACCACCCAGAACAGGAACTAGGAGAGCCCGTGTCCTCTGGACCCAGGGTCCCTGTGAGCTCTACCATTAGAGCTGACTGGCAGGAGAGGGTGAGGTGGCTTCCTAGTCCAGAGAGTAAGAAAGCGGAGGAGTGCTTTTGGGAGGAGAGGGATGCAGAGTGAGAAGAGCTGTATCCAGAATCGTTTCTGGTCCTGAATTGTAATAAGAGTGAGTTCTGAGCAGTGTGTGCCTACTGCAGCAAATCCGAATAAGGAGTGCCATGACAGGGTCAGCTGGGGTCCAAATTAGTACAACCGTTTGAGAGGAGGGTCCCCTGCTGATTTTCCTCCCTCTCCCTTGTACACTCTGAGGAGGTCAGATCCTGCCCTCACAAGATGGTGCTGTTCTCTATATGTGCTGCCGACACCTTTCTCGTTTCTTCAACAGCATCACAGACAGACAGGTGCTATCATTGGTCTAATACTTAGAGTTGGAAATTGAACGAAAGCTTTGTAAGGATTAGTAGCCAGGCAATTCTGCATGTAGACACTTGCGCATGTTAATGAATATTTATAGACATGGCATTCCCAGGATGAAGACTACATTTTCAAAGCATAACCAAACCCCAAACTGCACCTATTTATCAAAATACCCCAAAGAAAGGTTGTTCTAATTTATACAGTTTAATAAATAGTGAACAAAAGTGTTGATCTAATTTGTTAACACTGGCTATTTTTCTTTATACATGGCAATGTGATAGGCACAAAGGGAATGTTAGTTTTCATTCAAATCTGACTAAAGCTTAGCTTGAAAATGATGCAAACTTCTGTTGCACTGCTTCCCACTTTACAGATACAGAGCTCTTTCCTTGTCGTATCTATCTATATCTTATTCGTTTCCTTCTCTTTTCCCACTAATCTTTAAATTCTCTTTATGGCTTTTGGGTAAATTTAACTTTCATGTAGCCATTACTGGGTTCATGTTTAGCAACATTTCTTCAGACCAAGATCACACACAGCTTCACTTGTATTTTACATTTTCCAAAGGCACATTCCACCAACACAACTAAACAATCCATTTTTTCCGCGGATCTGAAATGTGGATCTGTGCCTGCCCGAGGCTATTCATTGTCCTATTCTCCTCCCCCAACCCTAAACTGAAGCCTGCAAGCTGTCATAAACCCGAGCCTGGAGGCCTGGTGCACAGTGGGCTAAGAAGGACCATGAAGAAAGGCCATCCAGGACAGTCAAGGAAAACTTTTTATAGACCAAATCGTTCACAACGAATCCTGATTGGCTTGGTAGAGTCTCTTTCTGGTATGAATGGGATTACATGGAGTCAGGGGATCAACCTGATGGCAGCCAACATCCCCAGAATTTTCCCAAGTATTGAAAATCTCAATACTAGAAAAAAGGGGACCTAAAACAGTAACTTCCAGTGTGTCTTGTTCTGACTCACAGTGACCCTACAAAGAGTATCCAGGGAACGGTTGGTGAGTTTGCACCGCAGACCTTATTCAAACCTACACTGTGGTCCAGCGCATTAACCCACAGTGCCACACCAGGACTCCTAGTGACCCTGTACAGGGTTTCCAAGGCTGTCAATCTTTACGGGAACAGAAAGCATCATCTTTCTCCCACGGAACAGCTGCTAGTTTTGAACTGCTGACCGTAAGACCAGAAGCCTGATCTCGTAACCACTACGGCACCACAGCTCCTTAGGACTCCTACAGTTGTTGTTAAATGCTCCTGAGTCCGTTAGATTCCTAGTCGCCCTGTATGGAGTTTCTTAGGAACAGCTGGTGGGTTTGAACTTTGCAGGTTGCAGTCCAGTGCTTATCTTACAGAGCCACTAAGAGGAAAAAAATGTGACAAATAGGCTGGACACTAAGACTTGGGCTTCACATTTTGGACAATACATTATCCACAATTTTCCTCCTTCTTCCACCTCTTGATTTTTCTTACTGTATCATTAAATTTCAAATTGAACACATTGCTGATCTGTTAAGAGTCAACAGCTCAGCAGGCAGGCTGGTGAGCAATGGGCATCCATACCAGTGTGGATGGGAGACTCTGCTTAGTACTGTCACCTTGACGTTGTGGTTTGTTTATTCTGGTTTGGTGCAAGTTTACAGAGGCACCATCAGTTTCCCATTCCGCAATTTAGACATTAGTAGTTTCATGACATCAACTACAATCCCTTTAATGTACAACACCCTTTCCCACTTTTCCCTTGGTTTCCCAATTTCCATCTGTCCTTCCCTACAATTGATTATCCTGCACTTTATATGCCTGACTACTGTTTGGCTAAGGAGCTCTGGCTGCGAGTTGGGCTGCTAACATCCAGGTCAGCAGTTCGAAACTACCAGCCTTTCAGCAGGAGAAAGATGAGGCTTTCTGCTCCCGTAAAGACAAACGGCCTCAGAAACCCTGTACGAGGTCCCTATGAGTTGAACAGACTCCACGGCACATCACCACCACCATTTGGCTGAAAGGTGATCCCTGGTTATATTCCAGGTCTCAAGGGTGTCCAAGGGCCATAGTGTTGGGATCTTTCATCAGTTTACCTCTACTTTTTACACAAATTATAAAATAAATTAAGTACCGTTGAATTGATTCTGATTCTTAGAGACTCTGTAGAGGGGCTTTCCAAGGAGCAGCTGGTAGGTTTGAACTGCTGCTGATCTAGTGGTTAGCAAGCAGTCCAGTGCCTATCCTGTAGCACCACACCAGAAGTCCATAAAGTAAGCTGTTGTTAAGTACTGTCCCCTGTTCCTCAGGGGTTACTGAGGAGCAGCTGGTGGGTTTGAACCGCCGACCTTTCAGTTCAAACTGACCCTGTGGTCTGGCATTTATCCTACAGTTCTACCACACCAGGTCTCCACACATTAAGTGGAACAATTTGAAAAAACAAATATGACTAGAAATAACAAACAAGCAAAAATGAGAATCATGGCAAAAATTTACCCAACAATGAAAAGGTTGGCCATTTAAAAGCAGGTTGCAAAAATGAAATTTAGCAACTATTTTCAATATAAAGAATTAAATCATACAGTGTGTAATGCATCAGACTGCAAAGTTGTTTGAACTGCAAGGTCGGTGGTTCAAACTCACCAGCTGCTCCTTGGAAACCCTATACATGGCTGCTATGGGTTGGAATTGACTCAACGGCACTTCACAACATCAGACACCCGTTGACGCCCATGTCTCCAAAAGCCAGTTACAGCGTAGCAAAGTGCCATGTTCTGGACCTACTGCTCACCATAGTTTCCTAGGGTGCTCAGCATGCAGGGTGTAGGAAGAAGAAGAACAGCTACTTTTAAGCCAACAGTGCCCACCCTCCAGGTGCAAAAACACAGAATGTCCAGGCACTAAGTGTTGCTACCAACAAGATAAGGGAACTAGAAGTTAATCTAACCCCAGCAATTAAAATATCCTTTTAAAGTGCATATAAAATTAAGGTAACAATCCCCAAATCTAATCAATATCATAAATTCAAGGTTTTCTTTTTAAACCTGTAGTTGTTTTTCATAGGGAAAAGGATTTCCTTACATCATACTAGTATACTTTACCTGATTATTCCAGATTCTAATTTCCTTTTCAACACACCAGTCTAATTCCAGAGCTAGGTCCTGGACTAACTGGTAACCCAATTCCCATTAATATTATTGTCTATGGGAGGACATGTCTTAAGCTTTAAAAAATTCTCAGAGATCAGTCGAACGGACTTTGTGAACACTAGCAACACTTCAGAACACTACAGAATGATTACACACTGAATGTTGTTATGTACCGTGGAGTCGGTTCCGACCCATAGCGACCCTGTACAGAGTTTCCGAGGCTGTAAATCTTTACGGGAGCAGAAAGCTTCATCTTTCTCCCGCAGACACACTGAATAAAGCTGATACAAAGATTCTACAATATGTTAGTTCTGTACAATTCTGTTCTCATTACAAAGCAAAAACCTAAGTAGGCTGCCACCACTGGCTGACTATCTCCCCTCTGAAAAGAACAAGCAGGGCTCACCACTTCTACAGATTACTGGGAGCCTGTAACCATTGGAACCACCAGAGA